GTAAAACTCTAGAAATTTAATTTCTCTTCTTGAGTGCAATAGCACACAATTGATCTTTCTTCACCATATTTAAACAAACTTTTTGGTCCATATTGAGGATACCATACCACCTTAATACTTAAGATATATTACCTAAATATATTGGAAAAATAGTGAGATATCAAATATTGACATTACCTTCTTCCAGTGATCTTGCGCCCGTGTGATTATTTCGCGTAAGGAAGTGATTGGGTTCCACAAAACCAGTCGGAGGGAGCTCCAGCGTGTTAGGGCATGGTGGATCTGGGGCAGAAAGAACACTCTCCTCTTGCTCCTTAGAGGGAAGGCACTGATTAAGAGCCTTAAGAACAAAATCTGGCATATGGTCCTCCCACATGAGGCCTGAGATCTGAATCGTCTGGAAGTCCTCTAAGTCGGCCCAAACTGGTTCGTATATGGTTCCTTTTCGACCGCATCGACTGTGAACAGGAAATGACCTGCTTTTAAACTATAACGATCACGTCTGAAGAACTGACAGATGGACTAACTCACGTGCGGGCGGACGGGCGGACAAGTTCACTTGCTGACTGACTGATCGACTCACTCACTCACTGACGGACAGACAGACGAACTGACTGACTAACGTGATTAGTTTCAAATGAAACAACTTGGCTGGGTAGCAAACAAATGAAACACTTAGCTATATATCAACTTGAAGTTGATAAACGTACATTTAACTGATTGCTGGATGGACTGAGGGACTGACGAACAGACTCACTGACTGACTGACAAACCGACTACCTGAAAGATCGACATACGGATGGACTGACTGGCAGACGGATGGACTGACTCACTGACAGATGGACAGTTAGACGACAGAACGGACGAGTTGACTGACTGACTACAAGTGCATGGTAAACTGATGTTTCCTTCTTTTATTTGTCTTCTCACAAAACTTACCCTGGCACAGAGACCGTTTTGACAACATGAATGACTTTCCCGGGAGGGTAAAAAGTAGGCGTCTTGGAATTCTTGTTGTTAGGTAACTGAAAGTGTTCCCAGTCCGCCTCGGTATCTCGTAACTGAGCATCACAGTTGACGCACTTACATCCGTAACAACACACGAACGCCGAACGACACACACAACCACGCAGAATCTTCCACTGCAACAAAAACAGTTGGTTTGTCTTTGTTCGGTCGCAGAATATGTACAACGAACAATTGCAGTTATGCACATGCAAATTTGGCCAACGTGACTTTTTCCGCGCTTACAAAGGTTATGATCTCTTCCCATGCTTGTAACCAACTGGATGTCCAAAGTCCCCGACACCCATTAGACACTTGCGGTCTAACAGAATAGACCTGCAATCCCGCAAGTCGTGCATTCAACAAGAACAAATGCAAAATCACGCAACTTAGAACAGTGTGGCGGAAAAGAGAGCTTTACAGTATATCAAACAAAAATCTGGAAAAGAGAGGAAAGAAGTATAACAGCAACAATAATCTGCGAGACAAACAGTGTGATGATACAGCGTACAGCCAAGTGCATGTTAAAATGCATGGAAAACAGCCCATTTCTGGAAGTCGAATGTAAAACAACTTACTTTTGGAGTGGTGGAATATGAAATCACGGCCATTATCTTATTTCGTAGATCTTCAAGAGTGTAAAGACTTAATCTGTGGAGACAACAGAGTTGTTAACTGATCATGTTGATATCATGTACAACATTTCCTTATTTAGCACTCTCTCGATTTTTCTTAGAGAAGACAGACACAGCATCCATATCATTGTATCCGGATTAACGTGGTGTCCCTTCTTCACTGTCGATGGATGCTGAAAGTTTTGAAGGGAAAAGGAATGCTCAAACACGGTTTGTATCGGGATCTATTTGCACATGTAGTTACAAGATCAACAGCCATATTGATTCCTTGTTTAGCATACCTAGGAATCATGTCTTTTCCAATAACAATCGACATAACAAAATCACGGACATACTTCGCTGCATCTAGGCTGAAAAAGGAATGAAAATATTGCAAGTTAACAACTCAACAACAACAAAATTGAAAGGCCAAGTTTGTGCCAGAATCCTAGTAAGTTGGGGGCAACGAGAAGACGACGAAAATAAGATTGACCTTACTGCAACTAAATAAAAGATCTGTTTTAAGTGCTTTACTTGTTACTCTTCACTATTCACTCCTATGCAGAAGGCCTACACTCAACTCACATTCTAACTGAGCAGGCCACAAAATTCAGTCAGTAAGTCAGTCAGAAAGACAGAGAAACAGACAGATAGACAAAAAGTCAGTCAGTCTGTCTGTCTGTCAGTCAGTCGATTGCACTAGATCATGTTCAAAACAACACTTCAAACATGACAAAGATCTGTACAAATTGTACACAACTTTGTAGAGAAAAACACTGCTGCATTCATAACAAAAGTTAGGTACCGGTAAGTGTAATTTACATTTCCTGACTTTTCCCCTATTTGAAAGAGTGGTTTTCCTTGGGGGTGGAACCCTGAATAAAAAATCAACACGATCTATAGACCTGTGAATATTATTTCATAAAACTTAAATAATGTACAGTATGTACCTCAAAGTAGCTCCAGGAGGTGAGAAGGCATAACAGAAGAGATCAGGGTATGTTGGTCGAAGTAACATGGCTAAGATAGCTGCCGTGCCAGCACCAAGAGAATGGCCAACAAGAATAAGGCGATATGATTCAGTGTGTTTCTCCTGCAAAATAGTAAAGCCTCTTAGACCTAGCAGGCTTACTGCTCTTGGTGTTTAACTCTGGTTTCTGTAGTATGAAGTGACTAGAAGCATTGCTTCCCCTTGGATGACATGCAGTCCATCACAGGTTACTCCTAAGCATTTTCAGGTTGCCCAGACAATCAGCTGGGAGATAAGCACTGTGAGAGTAAAGTTAATTGCCCAAGAATGCAATGTAATGACCCTGGCCAGCACTCAAATCCAGACCATTTGATCTAGAGTTCACACACTAACGGGGAGGCCGAGTGGTTTAGGGTACTGGATTTGAAATCTGGAGGTCCCTGGTTCAAATCCTCCACCATACTGCTATGTGGAGTTGTTCTTGGTAGTCCTCAGTTCAACTCCTCAACCACATTGTGTAAATAGCCAACTGGTCAGCCTCCCACCAGTTGGGATTCTTAATAGTTATGTTCTATTTGAAATATTTGTTTAATATTTATTTACAGTGTCCCCAACTAGCAAAATAAAGTTATTTATTTATTTATTTACTTATTTATTTATATTATTTAATCGTTAGGTCCCCACAACACCCAAATCCTGCTGATGGGTTTACAAATAATTTGGCATGTAACAATAAATATTACGAATAGCAAAGGCTTGCAATGAATGCAGACAGATCATATTGGTCAAAGTAACACGTGCACCTCACTAATCAAAGGAAACTAAGATGTTATACTTTATTTAAACTAATCTGGCCAAAAAAAATTTGTGAATCAGAAATCAAAAATCAACAAAATTTCTTACTGGATCAGAATTGAAAGCTTTTTCAAGAATACCACCCTCCAGTTTCTTCTTGAGGTATAAGGCAACCTTTATCATACCCTGAGATAAAAAAAAAGAATAAGTCCATAATATTCGCTTGAGGTTTACAACAAATAATTATTTTGCTCTGACTGGAGAGCTTTGTCACAAATTTAGAAACAAATCAGTATACCTTGTGTCCAAACCAGTTTGTATCACCACCTTCTATTGGTATTGTTTCTGCATCAACAGTGAAATCTGTTAGGATATCCTGGAACATGAGAAAAATGATGTAAATTGTGGTGGATTCAAAATGACTCTTAAAGAACTTGCTACTTAGAACAAGACTTTGTTTTCATGACTGCATTTCAGTTCCTATAATGGGCAGGCTAATCTCTAACTGTTTACCTGAAGCGATAAAGTTCCTCTGATGGTGACCACAACTGCTTTCTTTCGATGATCCACACTTACAAAGAAAGGTGTTTCAAAGAGCTGAGGAAAAAAAAAATCACTGGCTATAAAGTAGTGTACAATGAGCCAAAAGGGAGGCACAGTGGTCTGATAGTCAATGCACTGGAGTCTGGACAGGGAAGCCCAGGTTCAACCCCCACTTAGGGTCAGTGTATTGTGTTCTTGCACTAGACACTTTACTCTCACAGTGCTTTAATGCTTGGGGTAATCCTGTGATGTACTACCATCTCATCAGTAATCCCATAATGCAATTAGATTACAATGTAACATGAAATTCATATCACGAAATCACTCAGTCATGAAAGGTCATTCTCTCTGGATTTGTCACTAGCCCCTCCTTCTCAAGCTTTCTCATCCTCATGTGACCTTTTTTTTCTGTCATGCACTCTTTCACATCAAGATGAAAGAGGGGCTGTTTGTAGACAGTCAATAGACCATATTCATATTCTTGGTATTAGACTGGAACTAGCTTGTAGTGGCGACTTACCCAGGGGGAATATCATTAAAAAGAAATAATGCTATTTGCATTTGAAAAGACTCTCCACACTAGCCTTAGTCGTAAGCTAGTTCCAGTCCAGTACCAAGAATGTGAATATGGCCTATTTGCAATGTTTATGACTGCTTGTGGATGATCAAACATTGCAAGGTTGCTCAACTATGAAGAGAAGCTCCACTTTCACAAAAGACCAAAGAAAACTAGGAATTACATGTACATGTAGTTCTTCTTCAGCCAACCCAAAACATGGACTCCCTGGCAGTAGGGACTTGACAGCAGTTTACATCTGTACATGTATTTGTACATACAAGTAAGGATGTTCCAAATTGACATTAACTTACTTTGTTGTGATAGCTGACAAAAATAGCTTCTCTGTTGTGAATGTTAGCAATCCTCTTAAGTGCTGAGTAATTACAACGGCAGCAGTTGTCACTTTCAATATCAACAAACTTGTGTGATCTCGGATCTGGATGACGACATGGATAACAACATCTGCAAGAGAAATCCAAGAATATTGATTATTTTCCTGATTTATAAACAGTTTTCAGTTTCACATAAAGAAAGACCATACACAAATGTGTACCACCAATTACATTGATTTCCTAATTGACAATCAGAAGAACCAGCACAGCAAAAATCAAACAAACAGATGAAGAAGATGAGGCATTAATGATGACGTCAATGATAAAAAATCAGTGTGTGCCCTGATACAGGATCATGGCCACTGGAGATAATAAGGCAGCTTAAGAAAGAAGAAAGATTGTATTACAAATAATACTGGACACGGTGGTTAGGTAGAAAGAATATTTTACCTAAAACTTTTCAAAAGCTTGCAACATCCACAAGCAACATTGCTCTTCATATAGATTGGCCAGCCATAAGCAGACAGTGCATAGTTCATGTAGTATACCACTTCCTTAAATAGAAGCAATTCATTCTGAAAATGAAAATGGAAAAATGAATACTATGGCAGGCTCCTGCCACATTGTACCCAATCTGGTTTCATCTTTCATTTAGTAAAGCATCAGAGAAGAATAAAGCCTTACAATGTACATTATGGCTTTTTATTTCTAGCAGCTGATTCTAATATCTGTAGCAAGAAATTTGAAGCATGATGAAGACTCAAGAGTATTGCCTAAAACTCCTCTTGATACATGTAGGTTATGCTAGTTATAATCACACAAGCATGTACACCCCACGTAGCAAACTTTAAGTGGTCAAATGAACTGAAGTGGCAAGAACTGTTACCTTGTCTTTGAGGTTAAGTGTTCTCGAACTGTTTGTCCTTTGAAAGCGTAAAGATGATTTTTTAACACCTTTCTGCAAATTGCATAACAAGACAAGAAAACAATCAACATCATTTACTATGTACAAGACACTGCATTTAATAACACTACACTACAGTACAGGTGAATGCATGAGCAATAGTTAAGACTTTGTTTATTTGCAAACCTGAGAATCTAAGACTTGCTGCTCTTCTATTGCTCTTATAAGGGCTTGGTGTTCTTGACGTTTTTGCTGCTTTCTTAGCAAAACAAGTCCAGCTGCCAAGTCTGAAGGAACAACATCCAGATCTTGAAAATATTCAGCGAGCTTTCTGATGTCAAAAAAGAAATTGTTGATTAAAGAAAGCAAATTTTGAACAATGAATTTCCAGTTTGAATAGTTACAGTGCATGTACAAGACCACTGTTCTATTAAAGAATTAGATTGTGTGCTCGAGATTTCTATCACTTGATAGTCAATGAGGACGCACACACAGAAATCAAGAGTGAATAATCTAATTGTTTTAGTATAAATCTACTTGTCGTTCAAAACTGTATCTAAATCCTGTTCACAGACACAGTTTTGAAAACGCCAAAAAGCGACCCTCATTTCGTTAACAAGGGCACACTGCTACGCTACTCACTATCTATCACAGAATAGTGAGTAGCGTAGCCAGTAGAGAATGGCATTCGTGATAGAACACTAGTAGGTTTATACTAAATATATGTATAACTGAAGTCATTTAACTAATTCTTGGGAGGAGAACTGGACTGGGACTTTGACTGTGTACATGTAACAAAGAACTACATGGGTTTTCTGTTAATTAACAGTTATACTTCAGATTGTAGAACACATGTACTTTGACCTACTGCACCTTCCAATAAAGTTGAAGACATTTTCATCTCCTTGTCCTACTCCTGAACAGCAACAACAACGCTTGAAGCATCCTTCCCAGCGCTTCTCATACTTGCGTGTAATGCTGTGTGATGCATCTACACTATCTTCTGTAAGTTGTGCCTCTCGAAAACGAACCCAATGCTTCCCAGCAGAATCAAATGCGCAATACACAATTATGATGACTGAAAACAAAAATAGCCAGTTGAACACAACAATGGCTCTTGCAATATATATTTCTGGTGTTAATTCGCATATTGTAACATCAAGAAATATCCATTTGATTCCTATTGACAGCCATAACAGCTCAATAATTGACAGGACAAGACGAACATAAAGTAACTGTGGTATGAGATTTCGAGGTTCTGTATCCATTATAGAGCCTTTTCCACTCATCCAAGCAATGGACAGTTCCATAATATTTGATGCAAAAAGAAGTGCTAGATATCCTCCCATAAAATAGTCTAACGTCTGTTCACAAATATGTTTATCTTCTTTATCGGCTTGGTGCATGTGATAAAAGCCATGGTAGATGCCTACAGACACTGACAAAACAATCATCCTATAAGAAGAAGAGAAAGAGTCAAGACAATTACACGCTGCAAAGAACAAGGGAAGAATGGTCTGCATCAAAATGATGAAAGAGCTAAGTCTCCCATTTATTGTACATGTAAAGAAGTCTGTGTCAGGCCAAGTGGTCCATACCACTGGAGCTTAGCCCGGTTTTACCTACTTTAGCATAGGTGATTAAAAGGTAAAGGTTAAGCACGTGGCTCATCAGGCTGAAGCTTATCCCAGTTTCAGTAGCAGGAAGCGACTAGGAGTATTTCTACTCCCCCCTGGAAGGGGAGTTAGTCCATCGCAGGGTTACCCCACAGCATTAAATTGGCCAGTACCTTGGTGGAGAGAGGCACCATGAGAGTAAGGTGTCTTGCCCAAAAACACAACACAATGTTCCCGGTCAGGGCTAGTTCTGCAGTCAAGCACACTAACCATGAGGCCATTGCACTTCCCATAAGTGACTACAGTGTAGGAGTATTTCTACACCCATCAGGATGGGATGCTAGGTCCATTGCAGAGTTCTTCCCCCCCTTTAGCATTAAATGTAGTAGTACCTATTTGTAAGTGCACCTGGGTGGAGAGAGACACTGGGTGAGTAAAGTGTAATGCCAAAATACACAAACACAAAGACCCCAGCTGGGAATTGAACCTGGACCACTCAATCCAGAGTCTGGTTCACTAACCATAAGGCCACCACCATTGCACAATGTAGAGGTGCAGTGGCCTCAAGGTTAACAGGGGCGGATCTAGGGGGAGGGTGCAGGGGGTGTGCACACCCTTGAGATAAAGCCTTCTTCATATTTCCTTTTAAAGTTTGTTTACTTCACCAGTCAGTTACGCCATTCCTTTGTCGTGCACCTCCTCCTAGGAAAAAACCTGGATCCGCCCTTGGTTAGTTTGCTCCACTCTGGACTGAATGGCTTGGGTTCAAGCCCTAGCTAGTCACTCTCTTGTGTGCCTCTCTAGCCAGGCGTATAAATGGATACTGGCCAATTTAATGCTGGAAGTAACCTTGCGATGGGCTAGCATCTCATCCAGGGGGAGTAGAAATACCCCTAGACGCTTCATGCTACCAAAACTGGAGATACAATGTAAGTGCTGGCCTGATGGGCTACTTGGCTCATATGTAGACTTTACCTTTACCTACTGTACATTGTACTGTACCTACAATAGCAACCTCTCCAGAATGACAATGGCCACTAAAGCATGTCCCAATGGCCATAATAACCTCTTGACAGAGGCCAGTTAATCATGGACTGACAAACCACGTATTCAAAACCCCATTTTTTATTGTAAAAGGTCAGAAACTTGATTCGTACAGCATGTTGGTCTCTGTTTCTGTTTGGTTTCTGTGTTGCTTATATATTCTGATTATGTTACATATTAATTTCATATAATACAATCAGCATTTTTTTCAAATTAAAATGCTGCATGCCCAAAAAAAACAGGTGTGATAATAACTACACCCGTACCTCCCCTTTATGGAGGTTTGACAATACAAATGTAGTGGACTGACTATCCTGAAGATGACTTTTAAACTAGTTAGTGGTAATCATAGATTAAAGAGTGCGTTCAAGTTTTGGTATTTCATAAAAAGCAAAAATTCTAGGAACAGCATTTTTTACCTGAGCTGTTAGGTAGATGTGAAATTGACCTCCCTCCAGCAGGAGCGAAAACAAGTGAATTGATCGCAAAGCACATGCATATGAGAGGGATTTTTCTTATTTATACATGTATTACATAATATTAGTTATGACTGATCAGCAAAAAACATAGACTGCAGTTGGTAGGTTGTTAAGTCTGTGTTTTACACCCAGTCCGTAGTCCACAGTCCACAGTTCGCAGTCCACAGTCCATGTTTTATACTGACGGTGTAAATCGACACAAACAATGCGTGTTCTGTCAGTATGCAAGATGACGTGCTTTTATTACCAAAACTAGGACAATAATATTATTCTGTTTACGAACACGAGTTTGAATCACCTTGGCTTTAGGGGAACTACTACAAGACATTTTCACTTTCAAAACACAAAACAGAGGACATGATTGTGTACCAAAGTAATCCTGTGGGAGTTGAACTCTTTTCCTGTGCAAACACTTTCGTTGGGTTTACATTGCATAGTTTGCACACAGAAATCTAGGCCAGCAAATAGAAACTACACCTTTCCTCCTTTGTTTTATTCAGCAGAAAGCAGCGTTGGTTTTGGTCGAATTAAAAAGAAAAGAGGGTACACAACATGGGGCCAAACTGCAGCTTTCTGTTTGTACCAAAAGTCGTACACATTTTGTGAAGACAAGTCTGCAAGGTTTTTAAATGCCAGACAGACTTCAAACTTTAAATAGACAACTTATCTGCTACAGTCCACAATGAGCTGCCTTGACACTTGAAGGTCCACAATACTGCATAACACTCAAAAGAAAACACACGGACAAACATGGGGATGACACCATTTGCCTCTGAAGAATTTCTTTTCTTTTTTTTTTTTTT